TATGAAATGAAGAAAATTGTGATACAATGTTGGATCACAGATTATTAATGGAAAGATCATAGTTATATCTTCTTCTTTTTTAAAAAAATATATCATAGTAATATCTTGGTAAAGAAAACCTTTCTTTTGTTGGCAGAACAACAATAGCTAATTAGTTACTTCCCCTCGTCCGAGAAAAACCAGATTACTTCGATAACCTCCTGGGAAAAACGACTACACAACACGGCAACAATACTAATATAGTAGGCCAAAAATTCCGGTCAATTTTTCTATCTATTATAATAATTCTAAATTAAATCACACATATTACACTTAGGAAACTTAATTTTCGAATAAACAAAGCTCTCAACATAACGGCATGAGTAACTTCTCACAAGTCACCACAATCTTAATAAAAAAAATTCGTAACATTCAAATTTATCTTATATGTTTGTTTCATTTCCATATGGAAATATAATATGCATTGGCACACACACAAAAAAAAACAAAAAAAATCTCATACCATAACCAACGTAATTTTTTTAGTTTTTTTTTTCCGTTTGAATAATACTTTATTTATCTTTTTTGGGATTCTTTCCCTGAAACAACATTTGAGAGCATACATAAAAAAAAAAAGATAACTTTAGGTTAACCGACGTAAACTCGACACCAAATATCTATTTTTTTCAGCCACATGTTGTATAATGTTCGCCTTTTGATCCATAATTTTCTCAAGACAAAATTTGAATTTGTAATAATCTTGAAATAGAAAGTTTATATCACACAATAGGCTTACAAACGTTGAGTAAACGCGCTAGAAGATGAAGAAGATCGTCGTTGTAACATGTTACTAACTGAGCATCAAAACATTATTAAAAAAGTACGAATACAGTTACATGCATGATCATAAACAACACATAGAAAAAGATGGAACAAGAATTCTAAGTGTAGTTACTTCAATAGGGCCAGTATGGTATGGAGAATGAGTACAATCAATTTTGATACGTAAACTTCAAAAAGTGTGGTTTATGTCGTACGAACCTAATTAATGAGCTGCCACGAAGACCGGAATTACAGATGTGGGGTCCGGTCTACGCAGACCGACCATTCACATTTCAGATGTTCACCAAAAATCTACCAATAAGTACATCAAATTTAAATTAAATGTTTGACTAAGAATACAGAAAATATTAAATAGAGAACATCGGGTCCTAGTCCACTCTGTATTACGGTCATATCTCTTCATATTGCACACATGCAATTTTGTAGTAGGACTGAGAATTGAATATGCTATGTTACGTTTACAGCTAAAAAATTCTGTTGTTATTTCTTTTAATTTGTTTCTTATATAGTCAGAATCAGAATGTTAGCCTTTCTAACTCTGTTCACACGTGACACGTTTACTACAAAGAGAATCAAACACACGTAGGAGTATTTGTTTTTATTAATCATAAATCTCAGATGTTGTTTTCCTAACCCAAAACCAGTTTTTGATAGTATCA